GAAGGAAGAAGGAGCGGTACGTACTCTAAAAAGAATATATCTCAGATGTGAAGGGCGGCATAGACAAGAGAAAGAATCTCCAAAATGGCATTCTTCGAACAGTGTAGCGCTTAGGTCGTTTGGGAAAGAGATTTGAGTGAGCCGGTAAGCCCTTCCTAACAAGGTGTTGAGAAAGATATAGAATCAACTGCAAACATAGCATCGGTAGAGCCATCATCTGGAATTCCTAGTCTTTTCTTTATTTGTTGATATTGGCCCGGGTAGTAAATGCCTGAATCTATACCTGAAAGGTACCATCTAGTTAGGAGATTACGTTCGTTAGCTTTTGGAATTGATGAAATTGGTTGAATCAGCAATTTTTGAATCGAGCTGGAGTGGCATTTATATATAGATAGGAAGCAGTCTTGTAACTGTGAATTGGTCCTACTATAAGGTTCAGAAAGAAGCCCCACTCCTTGGGTTCGTAAGAAGCGGATGAAGACGGGCATGTAGTGGGGGGTACGGTTTCAGTCACCCCTTACTTTCAACTTTCAGGATCAAAGCTCCAGTCATCGAGGTGGGAGATTATGGATCAGCTAGCTATAGAATAGAAAGAACAAGGGAACTCATCGACCCATCCAACAGTTGGAGATATAACTACGACTCCAATATCCGATATGACAGAAAGAGAAAGAGTCGTGAATGTAGGTGGGACGGTACGGATTCATACAAGACCTTGCCCACACGCTCTGGCGAGATAGGATCGATTACATCTAGAAATAGAACCTTGGAAATGCTATCTATTGACTCGACTCACTCAAAGCCAGGTCTGGTCTTAAGCCGGACAAGAGATTCTGACTGGGCTAGGCGTCATACTAAGTTTACCCGCACATTAGTGAAAGTGGAACTAGACTTTGATCTCTTTTCAGATCATATAAGATACCTTTCTATATCCTCTAACCCAATCCAATTTAGACACAAAGGATGCCAGCCACTTATATTATAGGCTTTCTTGGTAAGCTAATCCTCATACTCAGGTGCCCTAGAAGGGGAAAACCTTAAATTCTCGGATCAAGAAGAAGTCGTCTTACGTTCTATCAATAAACAACCAAAACGACCAGGAGGATAGAAAGCAGTAGTGGTGCCATTACCTTTTCCTTTAGAATCTCCACTCAGGGCAGGCTTCTCTCATTGGAACGATCCGATCACCCTATTCTCAAGCTCCTTAAATGAGGAATCCCCCAAAAGGGATTCAGAATAAGTTGATAGCGGTCCTTATAACTCACTCTTCGGGTTCAGCTAGTCGGGAACAACCAAGAAGAATAGGTATTGATGAGCACCTTTAGCGAGAAGCTTGATAGCCCCTTGTTAGACCTGAGTCTATAGCTTTGGCAGCAACTGATCTATCTCTTTATGGTTTCCTCGGATCAGCTAGCTGAACTGGGCTTGGAGCACACACGTACCCCTCTTAGGATAGGATGCATGTCCCGAAAGACAGATAGGCTCTTTGATCAGTCCTATAGCCCATCTTCGTCTCAGTGAAACTAGGTCAGGAGAGAACGGCTATTCCTTTTTTCACCCAAGGTAACATAACATTACAGGCGAACAACCGCTTCTCAATTGGTTCAAACCCAGTCCTCCAATCAATCCCATTCAGGGTTGAGCATATTGGATTGGAAAAGACTTGACCCTCGTTACAAGAGTGAATTGCCTTGAGTTCATACTGGAATCTACAAGGCAGTTTGCTTTGCCTTTCTTTGTTTCTGGCAAGAGGAATTCCACTTTACACCTTTAAAAGAGTTCTTTCATCGTCCGGTTCTCTAAACTCGAAATAGGAGGGAAATGTAATCGGCAACGAAGTAGCCTCGACGTCGGAAGAGGTTACCTCTAAGCTTGCTGTCCGAGTACGAGTAAGTAAAGGAGTAGACCTTGTTGCTATCACGGTTTTCCCGATGAGAATGCTAATGGGAAGGCCCATACTGTCCATAGCTTGGAGAACAAGCTGTAACCTTTGAGCTAAGCTCTTTCCTAGGCTTGAGGAGCTTCAGGTGTATGGGTTCCTGAAGCGGGTGGGAATTCCTGTTCAAATACCTTTTATTACCAAGGGCAATGTCCGGCTTCCGACCTGGCTTTAAGCCTTTCCTTTTTAATGGGCCTTCTTAGTTCCCGTGCAAAGTAGTAGTTGATTAGCTGTCTTCGTTCATCGAGTAGGCGAATGTAAGGAAGTTTGCCTGAGTACGAGTAGAGGATTGGTTTATAGAGTGAGAAACCTCTCTCTCTCTCTGGTTGTGGGAAAAGCTCGTTAACTGACTTCAACCTCTCACACACACCTGAGTAGCGATCTAGACTTTTTTATTTCATTCATTGCCCGAACTAGGTGCTGCATAGTGTCAGCTTTGTCTTTCTATCTTATTTATGAACAAGAAGGTCTTGGATCTTTGACTCGAAAAAAGAGTCCTGGAGTGTCCATATGAACCCCGTAACTGGAGTCATTCAAGAAATTAATGCGTGGGGGAATAGATGCAAAGAAAGATTCCTCGCGCTAAGGAAATAAGAGAGAGCCAGCATGAGTAGCTTCAGCTGCTTTTCCTCCGGCTTAAACTTCCCTTTCATTACCAGCCAACTCTCGTGCTAAACTAAAGAAAAAAGACGAACAAGAAAGGCATCAAGGCGAGGAAAAGTCTCAAGCAAAGAATCTTTTAAAGCAAAGTGTTAAAGTAAAGGCTGCTTACCTTACCACCGGGTTCTAGACCCCTTTCATAGAATCCAAAGAGGAAACAGTTTAGTCATTACAGCTTCGAATATGGGCCCTGCAGCAGGAAAAGAAAGAAGACTAGTAGCGGAGGAGGAAACGAGTTAATGGCCGGCCTGCTCATCGTGATAGGCGCTCCTGAGTTGATTCCTTGAGAGGAAAACCATTCTTAAGAAAGGCTTTTCGTTCTGCACATCCGAAATAGGTTGCGCGGCAAGACGGATATGCTCTCCATCGCTCAGGATGACACCTGAGTTGCTTAACTACACCGAAGATGCTTTCTTTATACTAGTTCGGGGCTCTGTAAAGCTCTTCTTCTAGTTAAGTGGAAATCCCATTACGGGTGGGCAACTAGTGAGTAGTGACGTAGCTCATGAGCTTGTTCCAAAGCAGTTCCAATTGACTGTATGAGGATACAAATTCAAAGAATGAAGCCGGTCGTTGGGAATAAACAGTTGTTTGCCTCCATCTTATGTGCGAAAAGAAAACGATAGATATCACTATAAAAGACCTTGGGTCGAATATCGGTCATACCACTCTTTCCCCCTTCACAATAGAATTTGAACACGTCGATCATAATGGAAAGCCTCTTTCCCCCGGTCAGTGACGAAAGTTACCAGGAGCAGTACTTCTCCCGCCGGGCTACCTAGCTGAAACATCTCAGTAACTACCGGCAGATCAAGTGGAAGGCCAGAAGAGTAGGTATGGCCGTGGATGATGATCAAGTGCTACGGGGAAAGCAGAACGATCTGGTCTTCGACATACTCTTGCTCCGTCTGCAGATTTCGGGGGTGCAGGACGAGATGCGCAGTGCAAGTCGAGTGAGGTAGAGCATCATTCATAGGCGAGCAGGCGAGTTGTCCCATGTCTAGTCGAGTGTGCGAGCGGGATAGTCGAGTGGATGGATGGCAGCACGGCGAAGGAGGCTAGCGAGGGAGAGGTTTTTTTAACCTATATTATAATAAAGCTCTATTTGACCTGACCTAGTTTCAAAGGCCTGAAGGAGCGGAGCCCTTAGGGTGTAAATTGATAAGACCAAGAGGGACTCCAAAGGCAAGATTGAGAGATACAAGGCCAGGCTTGTCGCCAAGGGCTTCCAGGGTTCGACCGTCATCTTGGAGAGGTTCACTCTTACAAAAAAAGTTTCACTCGTCCAACCCTCTCTTCCTAACTTCCATACTCCTTTCACCTATCGGCGAATAACTATAGTTATGCCTTGAACAGCTTCTATTGGCCAACCAAGCCTTTCTGATGCACTTCACTTAACTTATTAGTGGCAGCTTTCTTATTGGCATTGGAGCCAATTTCATTACCACCTTCCCACTCTTCGCTGACACTCACCTGGAAGACTTCTACCCGAATTAAGCATTAAATTCTCATAAACCGATTCACTCTAATGACGAAAGTGAAGAAAAAGAAAAGAAAGGAAGAGACGATCCGATGTAGCATGCCCGAAGAGGAACAAACCCCTCAGACCACTATGGAAAAGATCGATTTCAAAGGCGATCTGATCAATTTCTCCTGCACGTCTAGCATCTTTATTTACTGGGATCACCAGAACTAAGCCCAGTGAGTCACCAACCATATTACTAAACAGTGACACCTACTTGCTTGTTCGAAACTAGATCTTGATCCTGCTCTTCCGGGAGAGAAAGTTCTTTTATCAAAGAATTTGTATTCTCGATGCTTTGAATAGCGTAGTTTCGTACCCAAGGGATTCGACTTTCCTTCTGATCTACGACCACCCTCTACTCATAGAACATAGGGAACTAAAAACCACAGAATGAAGGAATCCGCATGGAAGGCTCTCGACCGGGTCATGGCATTGCTCTGGAGTGGAGCCGGGGTAAGGAGCGAGTTCAGTTCCCCTCGGGGAAGAATAGGCAGCTGTTAGAGTAGCGGTCGGTGGGAATAGGACTAGCTTTCTTTACAGAACAGATTCAAGTGCCATCCTCCAGGCTGTTGAAGGAATAGGAACAGCTCTTGTTCACGACTCTGCTGCCATTGAATCTGTTGAGTTTGCTCCTATCGTAGATAAGAGAAAGGCAGCTTAAAGGAAAGCAGTTGTAAGAGAAAAATCCCCTACCCAGCATTAGACTTTATTACCGCCGTTGGACTAAAGGCATTGGGAAAGGGCCTACCCCTACTCGAAAGGAAGTGAAGTCGCCCAGTGAAGGAACCGAGGGAGAAGCTTTTTATAAGAAAAGTAAAAAGCTGGAATCCGAGAAGAGGATAGGCTAAGGCGCAGAGAGGTGCATTGATGCCCAGACTAAGCTCTTAAAAGATCATCAATTCCTAATGAAATAGATGTAGCAGTGGCTTGCTGGAAACCCAGAGTCTTTACTTGATCCAGGATGTGTGATGTATATGCCATTCCGAAGTGATCTATGAATCGACTAATAATTCGTTTAATGGCAGTTCCATCTATCACTTTATTGTGAAAGAACAGATTGGCCCGTTCGGCCATAAATACCTCCATATTCCGCTGAATAGGGCTCGGCAATAGATTTGAGTTAATGCTTGGAAAACTTCCTTTTCTCGATCTTGATTCGCGTAGAAATTCAGGAACTATAGTCCTAGTTGCACCAAAGAGATCTGAATTCACACCGATGTCATAGAATTACTTAGCTTAGATCCCTATGATTAGATTAGGTACCGCCTGAGCAGGCTTGGCAAAACCCTTGTATAGCTTCTTCGATTTCTCGATAAAGAGAAATATGACCAACAGTGGTTCGAATGTATATAGAAAGAATTTTTTTTTATACTTCTTACTATTAGATAGTGTCCATAAATCTCATGATAGGTACCTAAAGATTCAAAGTGACCCTCAATGGGAGCTTCTCTTGAAGCAATAAGGCCTTGATCTAGTTGCCACCGAAGCCACAAAGGGCTCTCTAAATTGATTCTTTTCTGGCGATAAGCTCCAATTGCATCATAGGAATTACAAAAAAAGGGTTCTTTCATATACTTATCCTTATTAGCGTTAGCGTCAATTTTTTCATTTTAAAAATTTCTGCAATTAAACGGATTATACCTATTTGCGCAAATACCTCGACGATTCCCGCTTGTTAATACATAGAGCCCCATAAGCATATCTTGAGTTGGTACGGAAATGGGATCTCCAATAGCTGGAGACAAGAGATTCATATGAGAAAACATAAGTAAACGAGCCTCCGCTTGAGCCTCCAACGATAAAGGTACATGAACAGCCATTTGATCCCCATCAAAATCTGCATTGAATCCCTTACGAACTAATGGATGTAAACAAATAGCACGTCCTTCCACTAAAATGGGTTGGAATGCCTGTATGCCTAATCTATGCAGAGTAGGCGCTCTATTCAGCAATACAGGATGTCCCCGCATAATCTCCTGAAGTATTCCCCTGGCTCTTTTTCCCGAATTTTACTCTTAGCAACTCCTATGTTTGAAGCAAGCCTAATTAGACCACGAATTACAAATGTCTGGAAAAGCTCTATTGCTATTTCGCGAGGCAATCCACATCGATGTAATGAAAGTGAGGGGCCTACGACAATGACGGAACGCCCCGAATAATCAACCCGTTTGCCAAGCATAGTCTCACGAAACCTTCCCTCTTTGCCTTCAATTACATCTGAAAACGACTTGTAAACCTTATTATGACCGTCTCTCATTGGTTGTCCGCGGATTCCATTATCAAGAAGTGTTTCTACGGCTTCTTGTACCTCCTGACACATTACTAATTCCCCTGGTGTAGATCTACTTGTTGTTAATAGATCCGTAAGAGTATTGTTCCGATAGATAACTCTTCTATAGAGTTCATTAATATCTGAACTCATTAGTTTACCTCCATCTATCTGAATGATGGGTCTCAATTCGGGAGGAAGAACTGGTTTTATGTCTATTACCAGTTCTTCCATCCTACTCTTTTCTTAAAATATAGTAAATATCGTAAAGGCAGATGTAGTAGGGGTTGCAAACCGGACGGTACACAACTTGGTTTTGGAAGATATGGCACTAAAAGTTGTAAAGCTGGTCGTCTTTCATATCGAGCCATTGAAGCAGCGCGTCGGGCTATAATCGGACAATTCCGAAGAAATGGTAAGATATGGGTAAGAGTTCTCGCGGATCTCCCTATTACCGGGAAACCTACAGAAATAAGAATGGGAAGAGGAAAAGGAAATCCTACGGGTTGGATTGCTCGTGTTTCTACGGGACAAATTCTATTTGAAATGGATGGTGTGAGTTTGTCAAATGCTCGACAAGCCGCTACATTAGCGGCGCATAAACCATGTTCGTCAACCAAGTTTGTTCAGTGGTCGTAACGTAATTGCTTAGTGGGGGGGCCGGGATTCAAAAGAATTAGGCGAAGTCGTTCTTCCTGAACGACGGAAGTCAAAAGACAGAGAGGGAGAGGGATATACTCCTTTTGTAATCGCCGAAATTGTACGATGAACTCTTTCAGACGTACGACCTATAAACTTTTATAATAGGATCTTGCAGTAGTTCGATCCCACTCTTCCGAGTGCCTAATTGAAGGCTGTTCCTCCCAGTGATTGACTTCCTCTTTTTCTATGGGGATATGCGGGAATCCTTTACAATCAGTGCAACTAGGTCTTCTTTCTGAGCTGTTGAGTTAAGGGGAGAGTGAGAAGCCTTTCTCTTTTTTCTCTAGTAGTGAGTAAAGAAGTAGTCTTTCTTAGTTTGAAATCTGGGGCTTATAAGATCTAGGACTGAGAATTTTTAGTATTTCCTTGATTTTGGGCAGCTGATCTCAGGGTAAGAGGGCCTACGCGCAAGTACAAAGACAAGGACCGCTGAAGACGTGTCTTCATTCCCAATCCTGCAGCTATAGCTAGGGCTTTGGAAGACTAGTACCAAATGGCTAACATCTCCTCCTTTAGCGGTCTTCCTCCTTCACTTCATGAAGGGGGAAAGATGCCCTTCTAAAGAGACAGGATTCCACGACTCTGCTGCTATTGAATTCTCTGTTAGGATCGGAAATCTATCTTAGTTTGGAATAAGTAGTGTTTTTTTAGTGAAGTATGCCATCAGTGACAAAAGCAAAGGAGGATTGATGGCATGAACCGGTATGCTCCATTCGAGAATCCTCTCAGGAGGCGGACAGGTGATTGGACGGACGGACTTTTTGGTAATTCGAGATTGTAAAGGATTTCACCCTGCCTGGCGAAAAAGCCCCCACTGAAGAGGACCGGGTAGTCTCCATAGGGAATCAGGTTCTTCCCTTGATCTGTTTCTAATAGTTGGTGAGGGGAATCCGATAACCCTTCAAATTGAAAGATAAAAAGTACTAACCGCCGCTTCCAGGTAAGGATAAAGAAGTGAACCCGAATTTTCGGGGGGAAGGAACTTAATATAACAATAACAAGCAAGACCAAGAGATATGACCAAAAAGGCCTTGTCACGAGCTGGACTCGAACCTGCACCTCTGGGAGCAAAAGACATACCCAGCGAACTACCTTTTATTCTGATCATGACTAAACTAAAAAAGAAAGAAGAGAAGAGAAAGAACTGGAAGTTGGCGCCTGCTTGCTTACCAAGCGATCCTGGCAAGCTCCTCCAGTTCTATTATTATTCTTGACTTGACTTCTTATTATAAAAACAACTCACTATAAAAATAAAAGACGATCGATTATCTATCCAAGAAGATAGAGAGTCCCACATACGAGAAAAGGTCACAAATAGAGTTGAACCAAGTAACATTGCAAAGGCATAATGATAGTAGGGTCGGGATATCCCCGCCCTCCGAACCGGACGTGAGGGTCTCCCCTCATCCGGCTCTCTGCAGGGGAATCTCCACTCACTGCTTCCCCTAATATCCTCCCTTTACCACATCATGGGGGTTTACAGGAGATCCCAGAGGCTCGCTCGGAAGGCTGCGATACCATAGCTTTTGACTCAACTCTACTCTAGTAGTCACTAGACTTATTAGAGTAGTCCGTCCGGCTGCTCTTGCTGAAATCATTACTCTTCATTCTCCCGTGCTCTAGCAATTTCGCTCCCTAGACCACTACCATGTAGTTAGGTAGGGGCAATCAATCCGTAGTGACGGGAATCTAGGAATGAATGGGGATCCCTATCAATATAAAAATGAAGAATACATTATTAGTTACACTACCTTTCTCTCACTCAATAGATGTATCTAGTCTGATACGGTACAGTACAATACGAGACGATGGAATGCAATGGGATGGATGGTAGAGGGCTGCCTGCGCCCAAAAGCGATGATTCACTTGTCCTCTTGTCCATAGGGACCTCGTGGCATACAACCGAAACGACTCCCACTAGATAGCCGCCCCTTTCTTTCTTTTTACAGCCTCGTGGACGGACGAAAGAAGGGAAGTTACAGAACGGGGCAGTGGGCTCGCGAAGTAGACAGCAAACAACAGCTTCTCAGCCCCCTTTACTTTATTATATATATATAACAAGAGCGATTATATTCATATATATTATACAAGCGCTAGCGCGCCCCTTTCTCTAAAGGGGCGTAAGCACTTCACTCGCTAGGGGATGGGATTCATTCACTTGCATTCCTGCTAGCACTACAAAAAGCTCCGGTCTTAACGCCCTTACTACTGCTGTGCAGCCTTTCCTCGGGTTCGTAGAGTCGGGTTTACCGTTTACCCACAACGGGGGAACCGCCCCCACCAGGCAGGCGGCCACGGGTCATAATGCACTCTTCGCACAACAAATCCACTTTGAAGTTGACTTATTCGCTCGGCCAATCGTCGGAATGTGTACGAGATACCATAAGGGCCCAATATCTCAATAGCGCCTTTGTCTAAAGCTTCGAATGAGACTTCATATCCGAAACGCAGGAAGGATCTGACTAGAAAGTCATTCAAAACTTGATCGAAGAACCAGCGTTTATTGAAGAAGGTATAGAGTCGATTACAAAAAGTACTAGTTTGAAAGGCTCGTTGGAATTGATCCGCTACGGGATTTACATTATACGCAACAGAAGCACCTGAAGTACTAAACAGAATAGGTATTAGTTTGGTAATGGTTGGAGCAGCAAACTCGGATTCGGCAAGAATCTCATTTTTTGGTAGTACAAAGGGGGAATTGGCCCAAAAATGGGATAGGGGTTAAGACGCAGTCGGGCGCCGGCGGCTGACTCAAGTGCCCCCCGAACCGCGCGAAATGGTCGCCTATTACACGGCTCACTAACTCTGCCTGAGGTGGGGGTACCTATTATTCGTCGGCGGTCCGGCGCACCCCTACTCACTTAAATAAAGGATGCTGCTTAATTACGAAGGTTATTTATACTTAATCTAGAGAGTTCTCTTTCGTTAAGCGCATCGAGCCAGGAGTGGACATCATCATCTGCAGTGCAGACAAATCCAGATCCTGTTTCATCATTAGCTTAGCTAAAGTGGAATAGTATGACTGGCTTTCCGGAAAATGAGACGAAACCAGCTTTTTCGAAATGATCAACATGCGCTCAAAAAGACCTCCTAAACCCCCTCTTGCCAAGTGATCGAGTTTAGTCTGAGTCTGAATTTGCTGTATCAGTTGCTCCCGCTCTGGACTGACTTCAAGGAAAGATAGGATTGGGCAATTCCGCCGGTTCTGGAGCTTACCTTATTATTATGAAAAGGGGAAAGGGATGTTGTTGACGAACCTGCTGTTGTTGGAGAACAGTCTGTCGCACTTAACTGGGAGGGAGGCTGGTGGCACACATTAAGATATTCCCCGAGTAGGATTAGTTATCGAGTCAGGCTACCTAACTCCACCCCCTGGAAGCTTTAAGCTACCTTTCTACGGCCTACAGATAGTCTTATAATGCCAGTTATGATGCTTGCATAGGTCCTATTGGATTGGAGCCTAAAGATTGCCCTTTTTTCAGTAATAGGAATGGTAGACCTCCGAAGAAGCTTCTACCTACGAATCGGACCCATCGATCGAAGAAAGGGCAGTATGGAATGGGTAATTCCACTACAACTAATTTATAGATAGGGAGCTGCTCTTTCCCTTGCTTGTTGGGGCATCTTGCATCTGACAAGTCATATGGTCCCTTATATAACTCGTTGAAGGGATTCCTTTCCCGTCGATTAAGGCAACCGCTCGTCCCATCACTCAGAATGTGGCACGTAAGTCACTCAGGATTTTTTCTAGGTAACATTGAATCATGGCATAAGGTCCTATAATGACCGATGTAGCAGCAAGAGGCACCCATCTGGTGCCCGGGAAAAGACGTAGTTCATATGACAACTAAGCAAGTGACGGAGTGAGGGGTCAAACTCAATGCTGGCAAGCCTCAGGAAAATATGGGTAAGCCCGATGGTTCAAGTCGAGCCTAGCCAACAACCAACATCAGCTTCTAGGGATAGTAGGAGCTCCAGTTGCTCCAACCATTCTAGTGGACCGGTCGAGGCCAGCAGCTATGAATACCCTGTGCCGGTTGTGCGAAGGCAGCAGATCGGGATCGAAGAGAACTCCAGATCTATGAATAGCCAACAAACAGCCTAGCTCGATTACTGGAACTAAACAGCAACCCTACCTTACTTATCGAGAAGGAGTACTGGGACTGAGTAGACTGATTGTAGTTCTCTTTCCCCTAGCAGCCTTTCCTGCTTTCCCGGTTGCAAGGTTTCGAGCTAACTATAGGATTTGCTTCCTAGCTACTAATACTAATTAGTAGTAGGGAACTTCGAACTAAAGATTTGCTTTAGCTCATGTTTCCATCCGTCCTGTCCACTCACCACTTATCTCAAAAGCCACTATTTGAGATCTCTGAAGTGAATTCAAAATCAGTCTTTGTGGTTCCATTTCCCTTACGCTCGCTTTTGCTAATGCTACTCGGGAAGAACAGCTAGGAGACGATTAGCTCCAAGTGCCGAAGTCCATAGCTCCTATGATCGCGAGCTGCGGCTTGCTTTGTTCGCATCTCCGTAACGGCCTTGTAAAAACCTTCCAACGACATCTTTAGCCCTCAGTCTCTAACGTTTCACTCCAGTTTACCGTAGCAACTAGAGCAAGCTGCCTAGCTACAAACTCAAAAGCCTGGATTTCCGATCCTTACTTAGCTTAGAGTCCCCCAAGCGGATGCCAGAACTGCTGTAGCTAGCCTAGGAGTTATGTTGTTAGGGGGCCTCGGGGAGCTTACTTACCTAAGAGCTAAAAAGGGATATGGGGTTGATGTCTATAGAACTCTTTTTCTAGTACCTTCGCTTGCGTGAGCAAAGGCATGAAGTGAAGGAGCAAAGGAGGAGGTAGCAATAGCATTAGCCCTGTCATTGGTCTTTCTATCTTTCTTTTGTTTTCAGGAAGACGGCCCATCAGGAAATGGAGCTTGAACTATTCATAACTCAAAGGCTTAGGGGGAGGGGGATCTCCTCCAGCCATCCACTCATTTAGTTCCAGCCCTTCCTTAATCTCATAGACATGTCTCATCATTCGTGGGGGATCGCCATCAGATCATTCGTTGAAAAGATCTGAGGAACATACCAATCGGTAGAAGCAGCCGCAGGAGTGCTCTCGTTCGTAACTTACGCAGCTCTTTCTTTTTTGAAAACGGATCCCCGGGTGTGATGATGTCAGGAAAGGGCCACGTCATCTAGAAGTCTGTCTACTTGATTTGATGAGTGAGGAAGAAAAACCTTAGCTGTACATAAAGGAAGCCTTAAGGCAACAAGAGGATAGGGTTGACTTTACCCCAGTATGCGAATCCAAGTCAGACGATTGAGTCTCAGAGTCAGTCAAGAGTCCTTCCATACCGAGTAGGAAGGTCAGATCGATGAGATTGCTCAGTCGAAGTGGAGTTGTTTGGAGTTTCCTTGGTGGACAATAGAGAAAAAAATCGGATCTACTGGGAATGGGAATAAAGCTCCAGCCCTTAGACCTGAACTCCTTCAATATCCCGCCTACTACCAAAGACTGAACCAAAGAAGGTATAGACATAGCCATCTCCTCCTTACCCGAAAGCTCAAACTCCGCATCCTGATCCAGATCCAGCTACGGACTGACTAGAGCTACTACGCATCCTAGAATTGGGGGAAGGCGTCTAGACGCCTAAAAGAAGGCATAAAAGACTGTCTGAATCTTCCTAAAGTAGCAGAAGACAAATATCATAAGAGAAGAGATCTTTCTTTCCTTTCGACCAGGCCTTAACTTAATGGCTTCTCTTGATCAAAAGTCCCATCCTACGCCGCGGACATACACCAACCCAGGTGCCCACGGATTCTATCTTATTTGAAGAGAAGCTATTGAACTTGACGAATAGGCTTTCGAAAAAGGAGTTCTTTTGACTTTACTGAGAGGGCTTTCTTTGTTTTTCAGCTGGGGCTTTCATTTCCTGCTGGAATGACTGATCTGATTCCAAGGCTGGCTGTATAAGTGACTGATTGGCACCCTCCGATTTCGATCTGCTAGCAACTCCGATAGTTAAGCCAATTAATTCCTATCCTCTCTTTGACGGCCAAGCAAGCAAGAAGGGTCGCCCACCCTGCTCGATGAAACGATCCAGATGACCTGACCATGTTTTATTACTCTCTTCCTGTCAACTCGTGTCTCGAGTGATGGTACAGAGGCCTGCCCGCGACAACGAGATTTCTTCGTTTTTCTTTCTTTTAAATTAAAATAAAGGTGGAAGCGCGAATCTAATCTTTTTTTATTGACTGGATAGAAAAGGGATGCGCATTCGAATCATTGATCTACTGATTGAGTACGAACGAGGAAGCTCTTTTTAAATGAAAAAATTTCCATTACTCCGCTCTTCTTGCTCCACCAATAAGCTCCCGTAGCAGTAGTAGCCCCCTGTATTAGCATCTTTGGAAGCCGTGATATGATAAGCATCTCCGTCCATGTGAGGTCGGCGATATGGATGAAATGTATCCTTTTCGAGTTCTGCGAAAAATTACATACTAAAGCCTAATGGCACAATAAAAAACAGATTTGCCTCAACAAGGAGGAAATCCTTCCAAAAATGCGGTTTGTCTCTCCACTACTTTGGGGAAAAATATCAGCATAATAAAAAGAAATCAGCTATGGGGTAGGCACTCGGAGCAGCAAGATAGGTTGTTTTTGGTCCGCTCCTGGATCATACCTTAAAGAAGGGTGCCCCGACAATCTCAATCTTGAGTAACAAAACTGGGATGATCAATCGATGGATAGGTGGTAATATGGAATCTCTTTTGTGACTATGGTAGCGCCTATTTCCTTTGAGGATCGAGACTGTCGGTAACTTACCCCTCTACCTCAAGACGATTTCTTTCTCCCCGCTGCTTCTCCCTGCTCCCTTCCTGCGCTTAGGCCCATTCCTAATCTTATTGCTAAGGCCCTTACTGGCTGCACCTAAAGCAGAAAGAGCAACTCTTTCCCGTACTGAAGGAAGTAGGTTTTCTCTGCTCTTAAGTTCGAAGATCCGGCTTTTGCTCCTTATTTCGTTCAGCCAGTGAGATAACTCTTTCCGGCTTAGCCGAACGAGGCTGGGGAAAGCTAATTTAACTGAAGCCCTTGCCCTAACAGCCCTTCCTCCAAAACGTCGAAGCAAGACGTCGAATCCGGAATAGCCATTTCCCTTTCATCAAGATATCCTTCTCCGCCTGGATGAGATAGCTTCAGTTATTCCTTAAACTTCGCTTAGCCGGTCCAAAGATTCCATTCGAGCTGGATCTGATGGCGTCTGCTTTCAATGACAGTTCGATTCTCGTTAGTTGAAAAGGCTGGATTTCCCTTTTAGTTAAAAGGCTTAGAGTTCCGAAAGTCCCTAATCACCGCTTAAACCCTCGGTGAAACTGGGTAAAGCCCCGCATTCATTTGAACTGCAACTTCTCATTCTAGTTGATGAGTTAAGAAGTCGAATCCAAGTCACGTCGCATACCACTAGTTTGATTGAGTTGCTACTGGCGCCGAAACGGGAATGCATCAAGTCAATTCAGGATCATCAACATTTCTTAGACCTTGATCTTAAAGAGAGAGCCTTAAAGCGGTGACTTCAGCGACTTGCTCTCATTCTTTGCTCGAACAAAGGACTTAGCTGACTGGTCGCACTCAATAATGCTAGTTTAGTTGGCTTCCTGCCTTGATCGACAGCGCACTCTGGGGGATTTCCTGCTGGTGCTCTTCCAACAAGGGATCCTGTTCATCCACTCAAGCGCATTGGATCGTTGGTTAGCGTGGGCATCTCACTCCCTCCAGCATTGCGAATGTCACATTGGGCCGAGTGAACCCCTTTTGATAGACGAGCTTAAGCTAGGTTCAGAAGAGATAGATGGGTGTGTAGAATGTGATACCTCATTTCGATGCATAGCCCTTGAATCAGTATGGGGCTGATTGAAGCCAGGAGGAGGGGCCCTTCTTACAGCCCTAGTCTCAGGCCCGATGCGAAGAGATAAGCTTATAACGATCTCAACCTTCAAATGGGTTGTCTTTCCACTAATGGAGAAGGAGCAAAGTAACGTAGTGAAGGTGGTAGGGCATGGCCCATCACACTGTTGGATTCTCCCGATCTTTGATGAGCGGCCCTTCATTCAAAGACTTCACCAAAAGCAAACTCTCGATCAGTGAGCCATGGAGTTTATGCTTGCCTTCTGAAGCAAATGCCCTAGCCCCATCCAAAAGGCTCTTTCTTCGGGTTCCAATCCCGATTATAGATTGTACGAGATTCCCTTCCCTTTTGCTAACCCTCAAATCCCGGGTTAGTGCTTTTATCCACTACCCCTCGTAAGGTAAGGCAGTTCACTCTTTCGAGAGTAAGTTATTCCCTTCCCTTTTGCTAACCCTCAAATCCTAGGTTAGTAAGTCACCCTCGTGCTCGTTCTATTAGTTCTATTATAAGTAATTCCACGCTCAAACCTCTAATCCACTCTTTAACCAGCTAATCCATAAGGAAGTTGACTTTTCCAACCCTACCTTCTTCTTTCTCTAGCTCTAGATCTAGGGATTAGCAGGTTGGCTTAGTAAAAACTTACTTAGTATATGAAATTATATCCCCAGGGAATTAAGGGAATGACTTATCATCTAACCTTGCTTACTTCTAAAACCTTGCTTTGAACTTCCTTACTTGAGAGCGGGGGACTGACTTATGCTAGAACGAGAGAATATAGCTTACTAGCACCGGACTCTTTTTATGAAATTCTCTATCCCGTGGGACTGGCTGACTCTCAAACCCGGCTTACGATAGATCTAGCACTAGATGGGACTTCCTTTCTCAAGTCCTTTCCCTTTGGCTGCCTTACTTGCTTACCTGGGAATGACTTACTAACTACTCTATAACATAACCTTTAAGCTCCGGCTTCGATGACTTATTCTAAAACCTTCCTTACTTTAGCTCTAGAACGAGAGGATTACTTAAAATAGCACCAGGCAGGGTCACTCTTTCACCTGGGAAAACTCTAGAACCTGTACCAGTGATTAGATAGCGCGCTTCCTCTAGCGGGTTTAGAACCTTCCCATACTGATAATGAAATAGATCTAGCTCTAGTACTAGGTCTACCCCCTACTCTAGTCAGCTTTCTATCTTTTTCTCCAACCTTCGATGATCCTCCTGCAGGAAAATCATCGAAGTTAAGAAGGAAGAAGTGATGGGCCCGATCTTCCAATATCGATATCCGATCCATAAGCTAGCTCTTGGTTAAGAAAACCACGAAGATGCGGGCCGGGGTGCGATAAACGAACTTATCTTTCCTCCCCTCTATAGTTCTCCCCTTACCCTTATAACAAGTACCGGGCGCATCACGCTATCTCCAATCGACGGCTTTATGGCTAGGCCCCTTACTCACCGCCTTCTTGGCTTAGGAGTGCAAATAGGAGTTAAGCTTTAATCAATTCCATAAAGCGACAGCAGCATTCTCTTTAGCATCCTAGCAAGGAGCTTACCTTCTTGCCCCGGAACTAGTCTAGGAAAGTTACATATTCTAAGAGTCGAATCCCTTGTTTGGTCGTTAGCAAGTCAATTCCTTTACCTAGCGGGAGGGCCGTTTTGCCAAGAGTGGCATTTCGTCTCGGTAGCGAGCCCGTTGTCGGCCTCGGATAGGGAAAATTTCCACTACCGTAATCGCTTGATCGCATTACTTTCTTACATTCCGACTTTCTTCCTCGAATGTGATCCCAATCGCTCGTAGTCATAGTCAAAGCTCGAGCCGAGGCTTCTTCACCCGGTCGGGCTTCAAAGTCGAGTCGGAACTATTGAATTGAACCTCTTCCACTCGGGAAAGCTGCAGTCCTTCCTTACCTTTCATAGGATGAGACCGCCCCACTCTCTTGATTGCTTGTCCGGCTTTGTTGGTTACTTTCTTTTAGCTGGAAAGAGTGCCTGGAAGAGCCCTCCCCGTCCGAAGAGAAGAGATCCCTACTCTCGCTTTGTTAATTGGCCTTTTGTGCTCGTTATGATCTCTCTTCGTCTTTGACTTCGTCCGTCCTATTCATATATCAAGATCGGGGGATCAATAATCCGAGTACTAATGTTCAATCCTTGTCTCTTTCCGTGTGTGCCGGCTTTCTTGAAGGGCTAAGGGAGATCCTTCGAATCCTTTTGTTTTTCATTGTCTTTTTCTCTCGCTTCTTGCCATTCGGCTTCTCTGCCTCTCGGTTGAGTGGCATGGCATCCTTCTCCCGGAATGGAACAAAAGAAAGGCTTTCCTTCCCCCTATCTTCCAAGATGATGGCCCGTCTAGTCACCGATCTTTCCCAAAGTCAAGTTCCTTTCTCTTAATAATGGTTCGAACTAAGACATAGATGATGGCCGGGCTGGGAACTCTTTCTTCTCGCTCCTCACTGAGCGAATGTGCAACCTATCAATCTCCTTTGATCCCTGACCTAAACTCTTTGGTAGGCTACTCTTCTACCATTAAATGCTATAAGTTTGGTTTTTTAGCTTGCGTTTATCCTTTCGTTCACTCGGCCTGAAAAGAAAGATGGTATCTAAGATAGTGGCTCGTGTATCTGTTCCAAAGTCCATTAGGGGAGGCCATGTCTTTTGATAAAAGAATCTCAGGTTCTCACTCCATAATGGGATAAGGTTTCATTCAACTAGTCCAATGCCTGGCCTTTTGCTTTGCTTTGGCAGCTGCTATTCTTCCTTTCATCGAGTGGCCTAACGGCTCCTTTCCCTAATCTCATCTTATCCCTTTCCACTCCTGCTGCATTCCTGACTGCTTCCCTGTTGTGGCTGCGTGTCCTAATCGAAAAGAAAGAATCTCGGGACTCGGAATTGGATCTTCTTTATATTATCTTGTCTGCTTCATTGCCAGAAACTTCCAAGGCTAGCCACTTCCTTTAGTCGGAGTGGGACCTCGTTTTCTAACTCATCTCATAGGGTCCATTTCCTTGGCCGACACCGGCCGATAGAAACTGAGATATAGTAGGGAGGGCTGGCCATTCGGTCCCTAATCTCTCTATCTTTGAGTGGCCTATAAGAGAGAGGTTCACCCGGTTATACCACTGTAGGGCCCAATCATCTTATTAAAAGAAAATAAGAAATTTGACCTTAAGCCGACATGATTGATTTGTTTCTTTCGGAACCTCGACTTCTTTTTGACTCCAGAGGACGGGCTTTGTCGCTTAGTCCGTAAATGGGATGGCCCTCAACGGATCGGATCATTCCTTTGGTTAGTCGTGCATGGCAGGTTATTGACTAACGGCAACGCATTCAAGCGACAATTGGCCTCCTAGTTGTCGGTTTTGTGACGGTCTTTAGGAGTCTGAGCTTTATGTGTTGAGGGATTGCCCACGTTATGAAAAATCAAGTCTTATTCCTCTTCTCGAGAGATGTTGGGATTTCTTGATTCAGGGGAAATGCACTTATTAGAGATGGTATGAAACAAGAGTTCAAACTTCCTAGGATGTTAAAGTGTGATAGACATTCAATCAACGGGAATCCTAGTAAACTCTTGTCTGACTTCTACTTTTGAACTTATGCTACAATATTTCTTCTAAGGAAAGGCGGAACTGCAGCCCAATTGCCGTTCTAGGAGGGAGCTTGGATGGTGAGCCCAAGCCTATTCTTTCCATCGATAAAGTGAGAAGAAAAGGCCCTAAGGCATGGGACCGCTTCCTTTGCTACGGATGCCTAACTTCTTCGGTCTCATGCTTCTTAACCTTAAGGTGATAGAGTAGAGACAATTCCTATTGACCCCTGGGGAACTCCCTTAATCCCTACGGTTCTCGCGCTTCCTTCTAGCCGCTTCGCCTACGAAAATGAAAAGCAAAGAGCTTCTTCGGGAATTGAAACACCTTTTGAACCGAACTCCCTAGCCTATGACGGCATTCCCATAGCTCTATGCCTACCGTCTTTCCGGGTCACCTATCATTCACACCTGGTAAGTCGGGACCATATACCTCGGGTGCCTTCCGATTTCCAAAAAACCTATTTCTTCGCTCCAAACCATTCCCGTATGATGTTCTAATACTGTGGTTAGGCCTTTTGATTAGACAATTCCTACCGCATCAACAAAAAAACTAGCATCTCGCAACGAGAAAAGCAAGACCGACCTCCGTAGAGCTAGATTCGGTCAAATGGTTACCACGCTTAACACTTGGAATTGGAAGTGTGATGGAGATCTCGTTCACTCTTGACTTTCAATGCTCAATGGCTCGATGGCGGCCGGTTCAATGTCGACTAGATTTCCACGTTCAAGCTCTAAGTAAAGCGAGTCCAGCAGCTAAGATCGAGACTACCGCATTAACGAAAAAAGACCGACATCCGTAAGAGCAAAAGGACCGGCCTAGACCTCCGCTCCCGACCCTCGAGAAAGGAGCCGCTTTCTGCGCTTAGGAGTGCCTTCTTGCTTCTTAGAATCGACTTAGTCAGTCTCTCTCCTCCGACTGAGGCATCCTTAAAAAAGTCTTACATAAGAGATAGATAGAATCGCAAAGAGTATGTGGGGGTGTTAGCGGGAGCATTGAAGGCCGGGTGAGAATAAAGAGAGAGGGAGAAAGAGTAGTACTTGCAACTTCTTTCTTTATACTAGCTACATTGTTAAAGCTGCACTGTATTCTAAGTTTTACACTCGTGTCCTAACAAGATGCTTTGTACAGCAGAGGAAGCGAGTTGGCTACTTCTCTCGATAGAGAACCCGAAAGGGAGCGAATTGCTCGCCGCCGTAATGAAGGAATTCCGATTGGAGGCCGATCGATGGAAACTTATAGTAAGTCTTCTACAAAGCTGTAACTAGTCTTGCCCATTGTTCTTAACCCGGGATAGGGCTAGCTACCTGTCGAAACATAAAGCATGACGTCCCTTCTGTGGAAGCCGGAAGGGAGGAAACACGAAGTGTTCCAAACGACCTAGCCAATCGTTCTCTTAATAGCCTATTGTCTATCTTACTACGCTTTCTTTAGGTTAAGACCTGGTCTGCATGGAAGGCTTTAGCTACGTCCTGAAAGGTCACTCCGGGCACCTTACACTTCTTCACCTATTGCCATATATCAATGATCTATGTTGCGTCTTAAAGATGCAGCCTAGGGGATTTCATTTTCTGGGTTGATTGCTTTGTGCTCATTTAAATGACACCACCGTCTTTCCCCACCGATTGGGTTGGTGTTCAGTCTACCGGGTAGAAGATTGAAAATCATGCTTTGAATCCCGGCCCCCCACTAAGCAATTACGTTACGACCACCGCCAAGTCACCGGACCGGCGAAACGAATTCTCTCGAGGTTGAGCTTTCAAAGCGTGATCGCTCCAACGTGCCCATGCCTTACTCGCTTATTCAAGGGCGGGCGAGCTTTTGGTGGGTGTCGTTCTACTATGGATTCAATTCCCGAAAACCCGACACCGACAGCTTTCTTCGGGCACCGAGACCGAGATGAGTGCCTTACTTCCTTCCCGAAAGGCCTAGATGAAAGCTAAAAAATGTTTGATTTTAAAGTGGCCGAGTAGAAAGAAGTGAAGTTTCTATTGATAATTGATATTGAATTGAGTCAAATCCTTGTTTAAAAAAGAATATCGGATGTCCATGAAATGAAAAGAAAGGGATAGAGGAAGATTCAATACCGAGCTGATTCCCTTATAGATTAACCTCCTTCAACCTCCGAAGCGGATAAGATCCCAAGAGCTTCATCTATACCAACGAGATGAAAGAGGAGCTTCTATGTGAACATTTCTAACGACGGTTCCTCCTCCAACGAGTCTAGTCACTAGCATCGGTTCTTCCAAGCAATAGCTCTTCATCGTAATGGAACTAGGATCGTCAACTCCAACCGTAGCAAGCGGGAATGCCTTCACCACCGGATATTGCATCAACGATGGTTTATTGAACATTATCCAAATCTTAATGAGAATCGGTACAAGCAAGGACACTCGTGAACTCGGATAGCCTTGTGGTTCGAATCAAGCGAAAGCAAAGGCATTCGTTGGCACCCGAGATGCTAAGGATCGAAGACTTTTTGGATATGGAGCGGCTTGTCGGACTACGTCCGAGGAGGCGTCGGTGAATACGGTTGCCATTGACAGAATCTCGGTGAAAAATAGAATATAACGACTAAGTAAAGAGTTTCGTCCTGGTTCGGAATCACAAGGCTGGGGCGGTTGCTGGGAAATAGCATCAGTAGTTCCACCCGGTTCTGATCGAGTAGGAAGCTAACATACGGTAATGGAAGGAGGTCTCTTCTTCCCTCTCTCCAAGCTAAGGTAAGGTCTCGCCAGTTAACTTACTCGGGTGCTTAGTCGACTCTTTGGCTTGCTTTCGAGAATCATCAATTGACGTTGACAAGAGTGCCATCCCATCCGAAACCTCCTTTGCAGAAGACGAGTGCCGCCCAGAAGACTAATTCGTTCTACTCTACTTCCTTTTCGTTGAGCTATTGACTCATGCCTTTCCTTAATCAGTTACTTGTCCCGCTACTATTGATTCAATTCCAAAGATGTAGGAAGTGTTACCTTACCCGGCGTCAAAGAAAAGTTCCCGGCCTTTCCTTAGGTCAATCCCTTCTCTTCCTCGAGCGGGGCATTCGGTTCGGCGCTACTCCCCTGCGAGAGTTCCGGCATTCGGCTCGTTCTATTCCGGAGCTATCACTGGTGACTTCATCTCTGCAACAAGGAAGAAACTCAAATTCCTCTCTTACCTTTCTACTCGAGGCATCAATTCCCTCCGACGGTGAATAAATCCTCCATTGGATCCCTCGATTCGAAGGCGGCCCTTGGGCTAGGTTTTTATTATTCCCATAGCTTCGTCGATGAATGAAGCTCCGCTCTTCCCCTATTGCACTTCATATCTCTTTCTCCTATGCCTATCTTCGTGGGTGAGCAAGATGACCCAATCACTTATACCTTCGATCAAAGGAATTGAATGAAAGGGGGAGGCGTAGGGAGTATCGATCCGGCGAAGCATCGATAGCAGTAGCCATAAGGAGCGAAATCTCGACGTTCGTAAGCGTGATTCGACCTCCGAGTGCATGGTCGACCCGTAACACCCCTTCCGATTCGAGAACAAATAGCGTTCAAAGGCGGGATTCGAGGTTGATCTTTCCCCGGCGACGAGACCCGGCTCTCGGATGTATCTATTGAAGCGAGCACAAGCGAGTTAGAGATGCGGTTCCATCGGTTCCGTAAAGATCGGACTTTCCCCTTGCGCTTGGTCGTTATTGCCTTGGCCTTCGTCTCTTTTGACGACCTAGTTACCTAATAACCTATTCTCCGATCGGATTTTTAGTTAATTTTATTAAATTCGTATTATTAATCTCGGGCATTAGTCCTTTATAGTTTATGTGGTTGAAAGCCCTCACCACTAATAGGAAAGGTCAAAGATCGGGCGGATCGGAATCGGTACATCTCGGTGGTTAGAGTAATAAGGAGGCGGGTACATTCGATGACGGATTCTAGAGGTGCCTATAAGGAAGTGGAAAACCCGGCGGACGCGATCAAGTAAGGTCTCTTCGTGGAAGGAAGAATGGATGGTTCCTATAACCGGACCCGTTCGAGTCTAGGCTATGGAGAAAAACTAGTGCTACAAAGGAACGGCGGTTAAACTTAGAACTCTCTTCAATGCGAGGCGATAGTCCTACCTTGATGGCTAAACCGGGTTGTCTTTCTTAACGGATTGAGTGTGTCACCTACTAGCAATGGAATATGCTTCACTCGCTCCCACCTTACTAAGCCGCTATCGGTGCGGGATCGAGCTCGGAAGATTCCCGTGTGTGTTGAAATCGCTCGACTCAACAAAGGCGGGAAAGGCGGGAAGAGAGATTTTCTCTAAAAAGTAGGGTTGGTTTTTCGACGGGGAACTTGATGGTCTCGCGTAGTAGCCGTAGCTTATCCTCTATTTGTGACTTCGATGCTTGTCATACATCGTGGGTCTACTTGCCTACCTGAAAATGCTTTCAATTTGTCTTTTAGACGTCAACTTCATTTGCTCTTGCCTTGTTAATGGACGAGGAAGTGACATGACATATAAAGAATAGGAATCGGTTGTTAAGGACCTTCTTGCCCTAAGGCTTATGGAAATTAATGCTTTCAAGCGCTAGGCCAGGCCGAGATCAAATGTCATCTTAGTCAGATCCCACGAGCAGATGTTCTCGAATAGGCGAGGCTGTGAGGCAACTATGGAATCCGCCTTCCACGATTCCGATCCTGTTGATGTTTTGTCGGCATTAAGGCTGCTAGTGAAAGGAACTCACGATCTTGGCTTAGATGGTTTTGCTCACGGGAACATCATTTTTTGATAGTAAAGGTACCCGAAGTTTCATGAACGGACCATTCTCAACATTCGTCGGAAAGATCCGAATAGAAGGAAAAAGAAAAGTGGGACAAAATTCCCGGTATGAATAAATATAAGTAACTAGCCATCCTTCTTTATTAAGTTAAGGCCCAAATAAATGCTGCCATATCTGATTTCCGACATTAAAGCATCTAATAGAAATGTACGAGGAGGAATCGAATGCGCTCTTTTGAGACAGCTTTCAATAGAACATAGAGCTCTGCCCTTCTGGCTGTCCTAACGAGGAAAGTCACTTCGTACCTTAAGACCTTAAACGGAAGAGTTAATCGTAGAGCAGGAAGAATTCTTGCTTTCTTTCCGTCCGCTAGTCGGGAATGGAATCGGACGCTACGAATACGAATTATTGAATGGGGGAATTTTCTAATAATTATTAGACAAATAGGACACTAGAACGCAATTCTTCCTCCTTCCCCTTTTTCGACGGGGAATTCCAATTCGATAGATGATTGAAGGCAATTCATCCCGGGAGGAGGATTCCCACGGACTAAAAGCTGTTAGATTCTTTTTCGGAAGAGCTGCTTGTTCTCCTAGCTCCGGCGGAGCCCATTCCAATATGAACACTCGGTCGGCGAATATTCTTACTGCCCGGTGCCTACCACGACCTAAGCTTTAGGGAGACCTAAAGTCATTGGGATTAGAGGCTGATTTTGCCAATCACTACTACTCTGCTCTCGGAACGTCGGAATTGAAAGCCGATGATCCACGGCATATGCATCCGATTCTGGTGAAGCTACAAGCCTCTTTATAGATAGGTCGGGCCTCCAACCAAGTCTAAGTGCTCCTATCTGTTCCTATTCTCTTTCCACGAGGAGCCTCGGAGTGAGGGTGAGGGCTTAGTCCGGATTCAGCGGTGGTTTTGCTTTGCCAACTTGATTCTATTCCAATCTTGTCCCTTCCTACCTATCTATGGCTATGGTATGGGTCTTCTTTTGCCTCTTCTATTATCTTGGGATGGGAAAAACCCGATTATGGGTAAAAAAGGGGTGGGGCGGCAAGACCGAGGAAACTATAATATACCTCGATTGAAAAACGAAAACGGTTCCACGGCGGGAGAGGTTGCATTCGATATTGATTCGGATCCGTTCTCTATACCGCGAGCTCCGAGGCACCGGACGCAGACGCTTAAGGAAGGCGCTCCGGGAAAAGGAAAGATCTTGACTTGATTTGCCGACAACTACTCTCTAGTTACGTCGGGTTCTCCTATGCTACCAATGGGCCCAAAAGGAGACGGGACCAAAAGGCACCATTTGCTTAAGCGAAAGCATCAACCTATTAGTATAACACTTCGATTGAGTGGCAGAAAGAAAAAGTCTTCTATTCTATATAAAGCAGGCTTTCCTGGGAGCTTCTTAAGGCAAGGAAGTAGCTATTAGGACATTTGATTGAATAGTTGACCCAGCTCCTTGTTGTTTGAAGAAACCCTCCATGGTATTTTTTCACGAAAAGCAAACATGAGATAACAAATCCAGTCTTTCACTAAGATTTCGAATAGCTGTCCCGAATTCAAGTTGATTATGTTTCGCCCCTTCCTCGGAGAAAGACGATCAAACAATTCCCAATCATGGTCCTTGCGGATCGGATCATCCATATAATATACAAAAAGAAACTCCAGATATTTGATATCTTTCTCTTTGAATGAGATCTCAATTCCAGCGACGGTTTCATTAGATATCTTACAACTAGAATCCCTCTTTTTTCCGATCCAGTTCCTCCACCACCGCGAACCCCAGTTAGATTCAGACATGATACACTTTTTAGTTATTGGGAGAACCCAAGTACTCTCTTTCGGATCCAGGAAACGGCTCTCAGAGATCTTTTTACCTTTTTACATGGCGAGGCAGTTTTGTCTGGCAGTCCTTAGGCCGAGAAATGGTAATAGCAAAGGATTCCAGTCTATTCCCCCTTCTATCTGAGTCGGATCCCCCTCACTGAACTAATTCATGTAGCGAATCCAAAAAATGATGATGTCAGCCTATTCTTGCTTTCCCGTCCCTTTATCTATTCCTTTGCATTGTCCGAGTCTTCTTTCATTCCCGCTAGTACCATTGAAGCAAAATTTGAAATCAAAATCTATTTCCGTAGATTTTTTTAGAGGAAATGCACTGCACACAAGTGTGTTTCTATGTTTCTTCAATCGGATGACAAGTCGCCCACAAGAAAAAGGCATTAAAATCAATCATGTCGTTCATGTCACTCCTTCACTCTTGTCCTCCTGTTTTCAATCTTTTACAATTACACTCCTAATTTTCAATTCAATTACATCCTCATTTCATTTAATTTTATTCCTAATTGTTTTTCAATTGCAATCCCGAATGTTTTGAATTTCATTCCTTATTTCATCCAATTATACCCCTAATTAATTATGCCATGCAATTTTGGTATTTTTTTTCATTTCTTATTTTTTGTTCTTTTTCTTTTCCTTTTTTTTTCCAACGTGAGAGGAAACTGATTATATATATTTTTGATAAAATGAAGAATGATTTGCAAAAATCCTAAAATTAAAAATGAATCTAACAAAGGAAAAATAAAAAAAGATAAAGTAAAATAAAAAAATAAATTAATAATAAAAAATAAATATAACCTAAATTTTGGGTTATGACATTCCTAATGCTTTTCTTATACAAACATGTAGTGATTTAGATGCTCCGGTTTGCCATTTATTTTCAAATTATGCTCCTTGGATTATAGATTCATGAGCTTTTGATCACATGACAAGTTTTTCTCATTTGTTTCACAACTATATACCTTGTTGTGGTCATGAAAAAATTCATATAGTAGATGATTCATTTCTCTCATTTGATAAAGGTTAATTGATTCAATAGTACTTTGTAATATTCGTTAACCGTAGATCGGTACTTCAAACTAATTTTTTTTTTAAATTTAAATACCATAACTATTTTTTGGTTTGTAATCAAATATGTCAATTTTATTGACCAAATCTTGAATATGTTTTTCACACATGATGTTGACATGACTCGATAATTAAATGCCACGTGGATAATTTGTCGGTGATGTTTGTTTTTCCAACTAATATGACTTTGTAAAATTATAAAATACCCCTCTCTAAATTAAAACAAAAGACAAACTTTGTGGTTTGATTAGTTACTTTTTACCTTTTTTTCTCCCTTCTTTATTTTGTTTTTTTTCCTTTCCTTTTTAAAATTAAATTTCATATCTTGTTTTATTTCAATAGATATTTTGAAAAATTTCGCCTTAACTTAATCAATCTTGCTCTATTTCTCCTTTTAATTTCCCTATATAAATGCAAAATTCTCCACCTATAATTCTAAAAAAAAAAAAATCTCCGAGTGAAACTAGACACTAAAAAAAGAATCTAAGACATACCTATTTCAGTTCTCACCAAATTATACAAACTCCCTCTTTCAATTTCCAATCTTGACCACTCTACAAACCCTAATTCAAGTTCTCTCTTTCCCCTTCGTTTCTCCTTGCAGACAACATAATTCTCCATAATACATGATGATTTGGAAATCGAAGCATCTCCACTTCAATTCACACCAAATTATCCAAAACCCTCTTCAAATTTTTCATCTTGACTAGACTTACCACCACTTTTACTACTCGGTTTCTCACCCCAACTTCTATCAAAACTACTCCTACTTCTTATATTTTCCAACAATTGAGTGCCTCTTTCAACAAATTCTCCTCGAAGTGAAACGAGCTTGAAAGAAGAGTAGTTATAATGAGTATTTGTATAATGGTCATCCCATTTTAAAATTTTGTTAGCATAGTGAGAACTAGACAAGTGATCGGCTACATACATGTAATTAAACATGAAGTATCTTAATTGACAAGTAGTTACTTTGGTGGGTTTGCATCTAATTGCAACAACGGCCATGATGGTGGTGGTAAATTTCAAGGAAAGAAGGAAAATTAAGCTAAAGAGAGTAGAAAAATAAAATAAGGGTTCATTAGGAAATTTAAAGAGGTTGAAGAGATGGTGGATGTAGACTCAAAAAAACTATAGGTTTTTTTGTCAATTCACCCTTACGACTCGTCATATTTGTCCGAAATTTAGTCAACACGATCGATAGACTTGATTACAACCGAAAAATAGATATGGTACTTCAATTGAAAAAAAAATTAGTTGAGGATACGAATCTATAGTCAACGCATAGTACATTGAACCAATTAGCCTTTGATAAATTTATCCTTTAAATATGTCTTTCATGTACCTAAACTTGCACGTAATCTTAGGCACGTTAGTAAACCGTCTAAAGATTCTAACCGTCATGTCACCTTTTTTGCCCATTATGTGTTTCAAGATAAAAAAATCAAGGAGTATGATGTGCTAAGATAATAGAAGATCTCTATTATTTTAAAGATAAAAACTCCAAGAATAAAAGAGCTTAAAGTTGAAGTAGTATCGGTTCTATCTCTATTGAGGATAAAATAATGCTTTGACACTATAAGCTAGGACATCCTATTTTTCCTATCTTAAAAATTTATTTCCTACATTATTTTGAGGAATGGATTATTATAAGTTTCATTGTGAAAACTGCATTTTATCAAAAATTCATAAAACTATTTATCCTTTAAGACCTTATCAACCTTCAAGATGATTTTATTTAGCTTTAGTGTTTCAAAAAATCAAAAGCTTTATACTTTTCAATGATTTTAGTTTTTTTTTTTAATTTTGGATAAAAAGGTCACAAACTAAATCTCCGATAATAATACTAGTACGGATCTAATTTTTTAACTAAAAATTATAGAGAAAGCTAACATGACACATGACAACTAGGCTAAATATTCCACATAAAATCCATATAAGCAATGATGTGGAAAATCAATTAGAAAGCTTGAAAGACATGTCATCCTCTATATACTAGTCATGACCACGAGAGTGGGCCATGATCAATGCAAGAATCGAGGGAGCCTTGAGGCCCACCTTGGCCCAAGCAAGCCCGATATACTAATTCATCAAAACATGCTTATTCGAGTGTGAACGACCCATCAAACCAGAATCAAATTGATTTGAACTCAAACCCTAATTTTTTTAGTTTACGTCGAATATAATTCCTAAACATTTGTGGATTTTTCTTCAATTAAAGCGTAATTTTTCATTCATAAACACTAATTCATGCTCAAATAAGTTAGAATCAAACGCCAAAACACCAATTAAATAAAAGAACTAAAAACCCTCAAATTGAAGGTTTAGGTCTGAATAGATACCTTTAATAATTTTAGAAATTTTTGAGTTTTAAACTTAAATTTCAAGGTAAATAAACCTATTTATATCTCAATTATATGAATTATAAGCTTACAATCATTTCCCCCAAATTTGGTTCATCAAGAACCTTAACCCTAATTTTTCTTAATTAAGCAATTAAATCAAAATCAAGCAATTAAACATGAGATTGACTTGAAATTAAGCATGCTTGTGATGTAGGCGAGGTTAACTTACATGATTAATCTCCAAATTAATCTTCAAAAGGTAGGTTGCTTGAAAATTCTCTTCCTTCCCTTTTCCCCCAAAATTTGAAATAGCTCTTTTAATTTTTTTCTTGAAGGTATTCTACTCCGACTCAAAATCAAAGCTTAATCCACTGATTTAGAGGGTTTAAAATTGGTTAGGATTATTTTAGGTCCTTTTTTAGTGGAAATTTTGTAAGAGTTTCCTTTGTATTTTTCAATTTTCGCCTCTTTTTTTATTTTTCCAGACCCTTATTTATAGGAAATTTTGTGGACTTCTTGATCTCATCTTCACCCTTAATTTGGATAAATCTTATCCCTTAATTCAATTTTCAATGAATTCTTTTTATTTGGCTAAATTTTTGGCCATTTGTTCTTTTTTTGGCTTAAGCCTTCCATCTTGCTTATTTTTTGCCATAATTTTTACTGTAGGTCGACCTCATTAATTGCCTCTAGTCGGCCAAATTTGAGAGGAAAGTGACAAGTTTTGGTCCTCCAAGTTTCTAGACTTTTTCATAGTCCATTCTTTCATACATTCCTCTTTTATGCAAAAACTCAATTCTAATCCTCCCTTTTTAATTTGTAGGGCTAGTTTTTGACCTTTAACATTCCTACATAATTCAATTTAGATTATTACACTTTTAAGTTTATGCAATCAAGTCCTTAATTTTACACAATTTATTCCCTACTTTTAAAATTCTATTCTATACTCTTCAAAAATACAATTTATTTGCATAATAAATTCAAAAATTTAATAGGGGATTTTATTTTAAAATTTCATAATTGTTGGGCCTCATTTGAGCCTCTAAAGTAATTATTTAGTGTGAAAATTACACTATTTCCTATTAAAAATATTCCCTATACTTAAGAAAATTAATTTAAATTTTTTAGGAATTGTCACACTTCCTATATGATTATTCTATGCTCTTAAAAAAAAAATCCCCATACACTTAAGGTGCCTAATTAAATTCTTTACCCCTAAAAATACTATTCTAACGCATCAAAATTCAAATAAAATATTCATAGCTCATATGAAAATTCACATAATTATATAAAATAATTCAACACCCCTCTAACAAATATTCTAAACAAGAAAATCATTTTCTTTGCACCCACAAGATACTCAAAATAATTATTTCACCCAAAAATTATAATTCATGCACCGTAAAATCAATAAAATATTTATTGGGCATAAAATGGCTATTTTATCTACTCGAATATTCTCTCAAGTCTTTGTGAACTATTTTATATCTTTAAAATATTTTTCATATGTTTTTAAATATTTAATTTTATTTTAGCGGGTATCGGTTATTACATCCTCCCTTCTTATAAGAATTTCGAGGAAGAATTTCGTTCTCGAAATTCTTATTTAAACAATTCGAGTTCGGCTCGTATTTCAACTTGTCACTCCTAAGTAGTTTCTTCAACCTCATGATTTGTCTATAATATTTCATTTAGGGAACTTTCTTATTCCGTAGCTTCTCAACCTCCTCTTAATTCATTATCACCTCATATATGATGCCATTTCACAATAATCTTAACCAACATTCATCATATTATATTTTCAACACAAATCATAATGTAATGCAATCCTTGTATTTCTTAAATCAATATCCATAATTTATTCTTCATACAATACTCACAGCTATAACTACAAAGCTTTTAAAAATACAATAAATCAAAACATACATAGGTTCTAAGGAATTACCATTAAAGCAAGTCGCACGATCAATGTGCCAACTTCCAAATAAGTACCTAAATGAAAGAAAAAAAAGCAATCCCTCAATATCCTGCAAAATTAAAATAATGAGGGGTAAGCAATCAACGACTCGGAGAGTATACATTATATAATATAATAAAGGAGGAAAATGGACTAAGAACGATACTTTTAAATTCATCTCAAAATGAAATGTTTATATCTTCAAAACACATTCATATAGTAAAACACCATACATCGAAATTCAAATGGTTTAAAATCATTTCGTATCAAATCATCGAAACACTTATACATACATATATTGTATTCATACGAAATCAAATATATACATTTTTATACACTTGTAAGATCATAACATATTATTGGGTGTGAACACCCAAAGGTCACGCCCTTTATGACTAGGTTTTCATATGTTCATCGACACATAAGCTAGCACTCTACCACTCTTACTAGCTGGAGCCTTGTATCATTGTGCCCAAAGGCTACATCACTATAGCTAGGTTCTTAGTGTCTCGAAAACATTTTTGAAAACCAAATATATTTATATATTTTTCAAAATAGTATTTCATACACTATTCATGCATTTTCTAAAAATATATAGACACTCAAAATAACGATTATAACACATCCATGTTCAAATCGAAAACATTTATCAAATCTAATAGCATATTTGTTCAAACACATATTCAAACCTCTTTCCAATTCATATCAAATCATTTTAATATGAAATCATTTTAAAATTTATGAAATCGTCCCCATCTAAGTTCTAATGGAATACTTTTAAATCTTTCTTAAATCAATGATGAATGATAGATGTAATTCAAGGAATTTAAAACAAAATACACTATATAATATCCACTCACGAGTATAATGAAGAGTCGAACGAAGTCAAAATGGTCGAGATGAAGTCACCCACTCTAAAGAATCTAGCATCATAAGATGATGAAACATCCACTAATACCATATATCAAAGAATAATTCAAAAATAATTGAATTATTCTAGAATCAAGAATACAAGAATATCAATAGAAATGAAATTGATTGAAAGAATTCGAATTGATAACCTTAACTAAACTCTATGATCTCTCTAATAATTCTAAACAATTACTTAAATAAATCACATCATCAATTCTAAATTCAACTATCAATTATAAATTTATGCCTCAAACGTTTAATCACTCAATCCTTAAACAATCAAATTTCAATTAAATAATCAATTATATCCTAATTGATCCAAGACCCATTCTATTGACCTTTAATTGCATTATATATCTTAATTCCTCATTTTTTTTTCAAATTCTTTTCAATTAAGACCTAAATTT